CTTTTCTCTAACGTTATATATATATATGGGTGAGATGAGAAGAAAAAAATATAAAGAACTTTAAATTATTATTTTTTTAGGAAAATTTGAAATTATACTATTTTAAATTTTTTTACAAATATTTGGATTTAACTCAGTTAAATTTCTCAACTTTAAAAGAATTTCCCTTTTAAAAAGTTAATTAAAAACGATTATTATGCTAACAAGTTAATTAAAAACCATTATTTATTATTCAATGAAAAAGTCAGATCCTCTAAAAAAAATGAAAAAAAGTCAGATTAAGATGCATGTGATTAATTTTTCTTTTGCACTTTTTGATTACCTACCTTTTTTTTCCAACTTATTTTTTGTTTCTAAATTAGGAAAGAATGAAAATAAACAAGGGTTTAGTGGCGTAGTTCCGTAAGAACAAAATAAAGTGTCTTAAGCCAAAATGGGTAGGGTGGCATTAATTACATCTATTTATTTATGAAATGTAATAATTTCATCTCACATTGCATCAATTATCTTCCCTGTGTTTGACTAACTAAAAATAAATTAAACAACAAAAACAAAACCTTCCACAGAAGCAGAAATAGAAAGAAGAAGTGAGGTCTTACAGATTGTAGAGAAGAATTTGAAGGAGGAGTGAAAGAGAAAGAACATTTTGCAATGAAACCCCATCTGCAAACGGTTGGACCCTTTAAAGAGGCAAAGGCAGCAAGCAGAATGAGAGGCACCATGAAGATGAAGAGGTTGATTGTTGAACATGCTTGTGAACACCAACTCCATCTTCTGCTACCATCCATTGTGATAACACAGCTTTTGCAGAATTGGGAAAAGGGACAATTAACTCAACTCAACAAGCATGCCTTCACTCCTGCCACAGCTGGATGCCTTTCTCTTACCTATAGTTATATTTGATGGCAGCAGAAAATTCATGCATGTAGCTGTTTGTTTTCTTGTCTCTTTTTGTTGATAAAACAGTAGAGAGAGAGGGTATGGAAACATAGGATCCAAAACCAAAACAAAAGAGTGGTGAGGCAGGTGAGGTGGAGTCAGGGTTTTAATATTTTTTTATTATAAAATTTATACGGTGTCTCAAAACTCATACTTTCCTTGAATTTATATATAAATAAAAATAATTAATTTTATATAAATTAAAAAAGTTATTAGATATATTTAATTTTTATAATTTGACATAAAATATACAATACATTTCCTAAAATATCATTAATTATACTTATGATAGAAAGTGTTCTTATTTATTATCATAGGAGTATTTTTGTAACGACCCGCCAAGGTTTTTATACCATGTGAATCATGCAACTATACTAGTCGACCAATATAATCATTGAGTCAATAATAATGCACATATGGATATATATGAGTAAAATAAATAAAATCTTTGTTTATATATACAAACTACCCCAGAAAATATGTATATAAATATATATAGTCATCCAAAAATCATGGTAATGTCTTAGTGTCAGTCAAACCCTATAATTAATACATCCTATGTCAATATGACATCAGGACCAAAATCCCACACCTTCGCAATGGTTATCACAGTTCCAAGCTAGTCCTGACATGCTCCCATATAAAGTATGATCATCACAGTCCATCCACATGAAAACAAAAGGGTAAGATAGAGTTCAAAAATCTATCATACAAGAAAAATGGTCCACATTTATGTTATACAATCATCATATCACCCAAACAAGTGGCCTATCCAAGCACTACTCTCACCCAAAATCAGTGACTTATCCAAGCGTCACTCTCATCCAAACCAGTGGTCTATCTAAGCATCACTCTCAAGAAACTCTATGGGAGCTCTTCTAATTTAAAAATATTTTTCCCTCTCCTCAAGTCCTAGGCTAATCAGATGCCATAAGGCATCATATGCAAATAATGCATCATACATGGTCAATCCACCACTATGATCAATATCATCCTCATATAAACATGCATACATATCATATCATGTTTAAACATTCATATATATCATTACCAAGCATACATATGAATCAAGCACCAATTTACATCATATATCATACATATATGAACCAACTATACAACATAGTATCATACAACTTTTTAATCCACATGATAACACCTTAGAACATCAAAATAACATGCATCTCCCTTCAACAATTGTCAAAGAAAATAACACACAGATAGTTATACTCATCCAAATAAGCTCAAATCTATCTCAAAAGAAAAATAAGAGGATAATTTATAACTCTAATGAAGATATGAAATTATAAACAAATCATCTACTTAGCTAAAAATGTCAAAAATTGCAACAGATATAATCAATGCTGACAGCTTGACCCTTGTTCACTAAAACAACCATAATTGGAGTTCTATACCTCCTTTTTAGGTGATTTCGACGCCATCGGAAAGTTAAAATCCAAGGCTACAACTTTTATGAAGACATCAAAGTCTAATTTGGAAACACCAAACCACTTAGCGCCTCCCATAACGCTCAACACTTTGCTTATAGGGATTCTCCCCTCTCACGCAACCCCCAAAGGGCTCAACATTTTTGAAACGGTTGAGTCGTTTGATGATAAAGGACATCATGTTGTTCACCATTTTTAGACCTCCACACTTGAAACTCAGAAAAATTTCACATGCAATGGAAGAGATAACACCCATACACCAAAAACAATTCAATTCAAGTCTTAGAAACAACATAGACTCATCCGATGCATCAAAATCAATCAAAATCCCGTTTTAGCTTGAAAACTTTGAAAATGGGAAAAAAAACCCTCAAATAAGCAATTCAATCTTCAATTTGTGCATCAATTGAGTTTCTAAACTCACATGCAACCAATCTATCACAATCATAACTTCTCTTACCTGAAAATTGGCTCATAACAGCCAGGAAGAGGAAGAAGGAGAACAATTTTTGAACGATCAACCCACAGACTTCAATCCGCCAAAATCAAGCTTCCTATCCTGAATTCAAAGAAGAGACAGAAGAGATTAGTGATCTAGAAAAGAAGAAGAATCAAATAGAGAAATTTGGGAGAGAAAAGAGCTCATAGACCCAAAACCCTTTTATCTAAAACTTCTCTTTATAGAATTTCTTTGAGAATAAGCTTATGAGACTCTGTTTTTAGAGAAAACCTTATACACTCTTTTCTCTAACGTTAATTAAACTCTAAACAATTAACTTACTATGTAAACTGTTACAATACCCCGTCAGGGTTTTAATATTTTTTTATTATAAAATTTATACGGTGTCTCAAAACTCATACTTTCCTTGAATTTATATATAAATAAAAATAATTAATTTTATATAAATTAAAAAAGTTATTAGATATATTTAATTTTTATAATTTGACATAAAATATACAATACATTTCCTAAAATATCATTAATTATACTTATGATAGAAAGTGTTCTTATTTATTATCATAGGAGTATTTTTGTAACGACCCGCCAAGGTTTTTATACCATGTGAATCATGCAACTATACTAGTCGACCAATATAATCATTGAGTCAATAATAATGCACATATGGATATATATGAGTAAAATAAATAAAATCTTTGTTTATATATACAAACTACCCCAGAAAATATGTATATAAATATATATAGTCATCCAAAAATCATGGTAATGTCTTAGTGTCAGTCAAACCCTATAATTAATACATCCTATGTCAATATGACATCAGGACCAAAATCCCACACCTTCGCAATGGTTATCACAGTTCCAAGCTAGTCCTGACATGCTCCCATATAAAGTATGATCATCACAGTCCATCCACATGAAAACAAAAGGGTAAGATAGAGTTCAAAAATCTATCATACAAGAAAAATGGTCCACATTTATGTTATACAATCATCATATCACCCAAACAAGTGGCCTATCCAAGCACTACTCTCACCCAAAATCAGTGACTTATCCAAGCGTCACTCTCATCCAAACCAGTGGTCTATCTAAGCATCACTCTCAAGAAACTCTATGGGAGCTCTTCTAATTTAAAAATATTTTTCCCTCTCCTCAAGTCCTAGGCTAATCAGATGCCATAAGGCATCATATGCAAATAATGCATCATACATGGTCAATCCACCACTATGATCAATATCATCCTCATATAAACATGCATACATATCATATCATGTTTAAACATTCATATATATCATTACCAAGCATACATATGAATCAAGCACCAATTTACATCATATATCATACATATATGAACCAACTATACAACATAGTATCATACAACTTTTTAATCCACATGATAACACCTTAGAACATCAAAATAACATGCATCTCCCTTCAACAATTGTCAAAGAAAATAACACACAGATAGTTATACTCATCCAAATAAGCTCAAATCTATCTCAAAAGAAAAATAAGAGGATAATTTATAACTCTAATGAAGATATGAAATTATAAACAAATCATCTACTTAGCTAAAAATGTCAAAAATTGCAACAGATATAATCAATGCTGACAGCTTGACCCTTGTTCACTAAAACAACCATAATTGGAGTTCTATACCTCCTTTTTAGGTGATTTCGACGCCATCGGAAAGTTAAAATCCAAGGCTACAACTTTTATGAAGACATCAAAGTCTAATTTGGAAACACCAAACCACTTAGCGCCTCCCATAACGCTCAACACTTTGCTTATAGGGATTCTCCCCTCTCACGCAACCCCCAAAGGGCTCAACATTTTTGAAACGGTTGAGTCGTTTGATGATAAAGGACATCATGTTGTTCACCATTTTTAGACCTCCACACTTGAAACTCAGAAAAATTTCACATGCAATGGAAGAGATAACACCCATACACCAAAAACAATTCAATTCAAGTCTTAGAAACAACATAGACTCATCCGATGCATCAAAATCAATCAAAATCCCGTTTTAGCTTGAAAACTTTGAAAATGGGAAAAAAAACCCTCAAATAAGCAATTCAATCTTCAATTTGTGCATCAATTGAGTTTCTAAACTCACATGCAACCAATCTATCACAATCATAACTTCTCTTACCTGAAAATTGGCTCATAACAGCCAGGAAGAGGAAGAAGGAGAACAATTTTTGAACGATCAACCCACAGACTTCAATCCGCCAAAATCAAGCTTCCTATCCTGAATTCAAAGAAGAGACAGAAGAGATTAGTGATCTAGAAAAGAAGAAGAATCAAATAGAGAAATTTGGGAGAGAAAAGAGCTCATAGACCCAAAACCCTTTTATCTAAAACTTCTCTTTATAGAATTTCTTTGAGAATAAGCTTATGAGACTCTGTTTTTAGAGAAAACCTTATACACTCTTTTCTCTAACGTTAATTAAACTCTAAACAATTAACTTACTATGTAAACTGTTACAATACCCCCCAACAAATAGGAATTTTTGTCCTCGAAAATATATAGGCCTACCTGTAAAGAGGAATGGATACTGTTTCCTGAACTGACTCCACCTCCCAAGTCACCTCACCAGTAGTTGCATCCTAAAGAACTTTCACCAAGCTGATGGACTTGCCCCGAAACTCCTTCAACTTGTGATCGACCACAACTATCTATTTCTTCTCATAGGTCAAGTTCTCTCTAACTTGCACCTCATCCATCTCCACCATGTGACTCGGGTCTCTAATGTATTTCCTCAACTGTGAAACGTGAAATACATCATGTAGGTTAGACAAAACTGGAGGTAACGCTAAATAATAACAAAGGATCAAAATTATTTAATTACTCTTTATATTTTTATTTTACTTTCGATCAAAATTAACTTTATAATTTTTTTAATTTTTAAAATGAGATAACATCTTATAAGTACTTAAATAATAATACATTCAAATACTTTGAAATTATATAAGTATTTATTAATATATATATATATATATATATATATATATATATATATACATATACAATAATATATTAAATTTTAAACACATA